GGGGGGGGGGGCTGTTAAATTGAATATTTAATATTTTCTTTTTTTTAAAATTATTAATAATTTAGTATAGTTTTAATTTTAAATATGTTTATTTTGAACATGCTTTAATGAAATAAAAAGCATTTATTAAAATAATATATTTAAATATTAAATTTATGGGGGTATTTAAATTGTTAAAACAAATTCACGTACTCTCTGGATCAAAATTATACACTAGGCATTAAAAAGATAATAAATGCGTAGTTTGTACAAAAAATTTTTTATTAATGAAATACAAAAATTTTATAATTTTTTTATTGAAAAATTAATTTATTAAAATATTAAGTTGTTTATATTTTTCCCCAAAACATCATGGTAACAATACTGAAAATGCATGCAGTGAATATCTCGATTGACAATATTTTTCTGTTGGATCCGGAAAATACAGATTTGGTCACAGACACCCTAAGTCCAGATCCTTGTGCTAAATAAAATATTCTTTCTTGTGCATTAGAAAGCAACAACTCAGTGAAAACTATATCACCTAACCTGTTGAATAAAGTCAATGAATTACTGTCGAGAAGAATTCTTAGTTCTTCTCTGATTTCTGGACAAAAGTGTGCTGTGTGCTTTACGTAGCTTCCATGGTCACTGGGATTACTACTCCTTTTTTTAATCGAAATAATCTTTTCTGTGTCAACATACTGTATCTCTAGCTCGTTGTTTTTATTTTCATCTTTTAAAATAAATAGGAAACCTGATTCATTAATATCGTTAATTTTAATAATCAATTCGTAAGCCTTATTTTTTGTTATTGTCACTCCTTTTTGTACTTCTTCCATAAAATATATTGTTTCTTGTTTTTTGTACTTATATAAATGTTCTATAGGCATCTGAATTAATTTAATTTTTCCATCGATGTATTTTAAACTCAATTCTCTTACGAATCCAAGTCCTCCCTTATATGTTTCTCGTATTACTGCTGAGTAATCCCAATTGTTGACCCAACCTATTATAAAACGTCCGCTATCAACGTTGTTCCACGTGATTCCGGCATAAAAGTCAGAACCAAAATCAAACCATTTTATGCCATCTTGGATAGTGTCTTCAACGAACGTGTATCCATTGAAGTGACCAATATAATAGTGCATACCAGAACCACCTGCCACCCCACCAGGATTTATGCTTATCAATAAAATCCATCTGGATTCGTTCCTGGAAATTTTAAGTTCAAAAATATCTGGACATTCCCATATTTCACCAGGGCTATTCTTTGAAGTGAATGTACTCATATAAGTCCAATTTTTCAAATTTTTAGACCAATAAAAGAGTGCTCTTTTTAATTTAGAAACGACATTGACCATGATCCATTTGTTATGTGGAGGGTACCAAAAAACCTTAGGATCTCTAAAATTTTTGTATTCTACATCGTACTCTTTAGGCGGCTGCCTAATGACAGGATTGTTTTCATAAAACTTCCAAGAATTACCTTTATCGACACTGTATGCGATTGACTGAGCTTGTGTACCTTCCTTAATTTTTGTTCCATCAGCAAGAGTCGTTGGTTTACTATAATATGCACAGTAGATCGCTACTATTGGAGGATTTTCCACACTGCCAAGACCACTAGTATTGTTTTTGTCGAAAACCGCACTACCTGAAAACATCATCTCATTAGTCGTTTGATTATAATGCAGAGCGACGCCTTTATCTTCCCAGCGAACAAGATCTTTGCTTGTAGCATGGCCCCAAGATAAATTGCCCCAAGTGTTTCCATACGGATTGTTTTGATAAAATAAATGATAAGTTCCTTCTGCATAAACAAGACCATTTGGATCGTTTATCCAGCCTTTTGAAGAGGTGTACATCAAGGGAAACTTAACATCACGTTGTTGTCCATTGTAAAGTGTTTGGAAGAGAAAACTAAAAATAAAATCATATAGTCTCGTTAATCCTACATAAAAAGAGAAAAAATATTATTTACATTAAAAAAATGTTCTTAAATTNAATATTATTTACATTGAAAAAATGTTCTTAAATTTTTTTATAAATTTTGTTCAGTTTATACTTGGATCACAAAATAACCATAACTACATACCTGTAAAAGACTGTGCGACGGATAAAGTTAATCAGCTTCCTCAGATTAAGTAATTCTTCGAAAATTGATTTGGCCATAATGCTCAGTAGAAATTATACTTGTAAATCAGATTGTTTAGAATAAAAAAATTAGATAGAATTTATTTATATATATATATATATAAGTGCCTTTCATCAACAATTTTGAAGAACTTAAAATTAAAAAGTTTAAAATTTTCTTTTTGTTTATAACTTTTGTAATATAGTATTAAAATTTAATAAATGCATTAAATCATAATAAATTTTTTTTTTGTAAATCAGTAACTCAATTTTTATAAAACTTGATTTTATTCAAATATAAAACAAAACTTTTTAAAAGACGATATATCATAAAAATTAAAAATATTACTCTCGTAAATAGGGGAAATCTCCTACAAAAATACCATTTTTAAAATCAATAAATGTTAACATTTTAGCTTCGATGCGAAGCTGAACAATATGTCAAAAGATCACAAATCGTATCTATTTGAAGACATTACACTTTAAAATTGAAAAAATTTCCCTTGTTCCCCGTATAATGGGAAAATTTCAAAAAAAATTACAATTTTTCAAATTGGTAAATTTCATCATTTTTTCCCCTTTTTTTAACTTTTGAAATTATTCCGAAAACACTGCGTTCTTTAAACATATATCAAATTAAAGCTTATGTCATATAATATAAAAAGAAAAAAAAAATGTTGTCCCGACGACTTATATTTTATATGCAAAGAGCTGCCGTAATTATAAACCTGCTATTTTTGTGTGTAAAATTTTCGATTTTATTTTTGCAACTTGAAATTACTATAACTTTTTGAAAAATTTATGGATCAATAGAATATTTTTTCATAACTACTTTATGTTAACTTTTTTCATTTAATATACTTTTTTTTTTAATTGGACCATTTTCCTTTATACATGGGTGTTTAAATTTTAAAAATACAAGTAAAAAGTAAAACTTTTGATAATTTACAAAAAAAAAACCGAGCTTTAAATATATGTCAAATAAAAGCTTACAAAAAATACTATAAATTCAAAAAAAAAAAAATTTGTCCCGACACCTTTCTTTCTATGGAAAAACGATCGTTGGATTTAACGAAAGATGTAATTTT